TAGGTTTCTCAAAACCAGGATAAGACCTTATCCATGTTTCTTAGAGCCGGATATGACCTTTACATGCACAAAATGTAACCTCCTAAAACCTGATCATATCCAGGATACTAGGCACATGTAAATGCACTCAGTGATGCTTTTGAAGTTTCCTGTAATCAAATATTACATATTGTGACTGAGCTGAGGCATCCAGCTTATAAATAACAAGGTTAAATCACACGCTGTGGAACGAGTACACGTGCTTTGTACAGTTCATCAATCATTTTATCAATCCGTGTAATTGATTGAATCGATTAATCAGGGAGGGCAGCGAAGGAGAGGAGGTGATTGATGGCGGCGAAGATGGATCCCACCTGATTGAAATTCAGGAGCCGGAGTCTAAAAAGGTCAAGGGTCACACAAGAAGCATTTATAGGGATAGCAGCCTCTTAGTGGGACCTTTGATGCCATGTTACGAATAGCCTTTATCCAAAGTGTATGTTTGTGTGCAGTGTTTGTGTGTGTGTGTGTGTGTGCGTGCCTGTGTACATCAGACATCTATTCCTCTGAGGTTGCTTGGCCTTGTGATCGCGATGGGTTAAGTGATGCCGAAACCCAATAATAAATCTCTGGCATAACCTGCACAGATGACCTGAAGGTCACTGTTTCATTAACTGTCTTCCATTTTGATTTCCGCATCCCTTGTTCCTGTCTGCTCCCCTGCCTACCTGACTACCTGCTCACTGCACACACCACACACATTCTGTGGAAGACAACATCGATAGACATTGACAAACAGAGAGAGAGAGAGAGAGAGAAAGAGAGGACAGATCAAGATAGACAGGAAAGGGGGAGAGAGAGGGGACGACACACAGCAAAGGGCCTGAATGCATGGCCACTGCAGCAAGGGGCATCAGATCCACGAGGTGAGCTATCGGGGCACCCTAAAATAAAAATCCTTTAAGGAATAGTGTGACATTTTAGGAAATGCTCTTATTCACATTCTTGCTAAGAGTTAGATGACAAGATTGATACCACTCTCTCATAGCTGTATGTTAAATATGAAGCTAGAGCTAGATGACGGTGAGCTCAGCTTAACATAAAGACTGGAAACAGCTAGCCTGGCTCTACATGTCCAACGGTAAAAAAAAAAAGCCAGCAACTATAAAGCTTTCAAAAAAACATGTTGTATGTTGTATCTTCTGTGTTTGATATGTACAAAGAACTTTCCTTTGTTTACATCTTAATACTAAGCTAAGCTAACCATCTGCTAGCTCTGGCTTCATATTGACCGAGCAGATATGAGAGTGATATCAATCTTCTCCTTGAACAGCAGAAAGGAGAATACAATTTTTCAATTTAGAACTTTTCTTTTAAAAGTTTTACAGCTGAAGTGATTGATTGATTAATTGATGATTAATATATGACTCAATTTGCAATTTGGTAATCGATTAATCGACAGTTCCAGCTTCTCCAACATGAATATTTACTAGTTTTCTTTGTATTTTATAGTAAAAATCAAAATATGTAATATCTTTGGTTTTTGGACTGCTAGTCAGACAAAACAAGCCAGTTGAATATGTCCACTTGGGCTTTGACTGTGATAGGCGTACTATCTATGACACTTTATAGACCAAAATATCAATTAATCTAGAAAATAATTAGCAGTGGCTTATGTGTTCAAATATACAATCACATATAGTCATACAATGAGACTCATGAGTCCCATTTATCGGACAGTGAACTCAGTATTTGTATATTTGTCTGAGAAAGAAATAAACTAGTTCTGCTTTGATTCACTTCTTTGTGAAATAAAAGAGGAAGAATTACGGCATGTCTGTGTTTTGCTCTTGAAAGGAAAAAAAAACACTTTCTGTGTTGAGACTCGCCACCTCTCCAGATGGAGAGTGGCCATGTGGGTGGATTTGTTTGTACTATACAAGCAAAACATTACTTTCCCCAAATGACAAAAAAAGTTGCTCACTGCCACTTAGCTGTCCATGGCCAAAGGAGCCTCTTGTAAACTGCATGGTATTCCCCATTCAGCTTTTTAAAGATCAGATCATTTGAGCCTTAGTTGAAAGCAGCAATTAATTGGGAGGGAATTGTTGTAAAAGCCTCAGGAGTAGAATCTAAGCACCTCTCTTGACTGCTTTTGTGTTCAAATGAATGTTTTACCTTGTCCTGGTTGGTATTGAAAGCACCAAGGAGAAAGGGTCTTCTGCAGCCTTGCTAGATCTGCACACAGGTATTCAGCGGCCTCTTCTTCTTTTCACCATAAGGGGAGGTTCATCTCTTGAATCCCCACTACAACACAGCTGAAATCGGGCCAAGAATCTCTCTCCTTTGATTATAGGTTTTATGCAGTGAGTGTCATCATCAAACACACTGAATGCTCATCCTCACTCACCCACCATTTCATTCACTCTTTTTTTCATCTGGTGTTCTGTCACCAGACAGGCAGTGTTGCCAGGTATATGGGACCTGCTCCTTGGGTTCGGCGTACAAACACTGAAGCTCTGACTCATGTCTAGACAGAAAAATTAGGGCATACATACAGACAAAAAAACTTTGACATTTAGGCAAGGTGTTCACGCTGTGCAATCAGACCTCATTTTCCACACTGAGCTCAGTCAGTGGTAGCCATGTCTCGATTTGGCAAGGAACAATCAGATTTAATGTGAAGCCTTTTTTGTGTTTCCTATTTCCGCAGGCTCTGTCCTCAAATGAATGCAGCCCAGAGCTCACAGCTAACGGCATATCTTTGAAAGCACAACTGCTCTGTCACTAGGCTGGACTAAAATGGAATCAGCAGGAATGCATTTAATACTGTGGAGTTCTTTTTTTTTTCAAACACAATGCTGTGTGTCATAGCATGGCGACAAGGCATGCCGTGCCATTACAGAGGAATTATAGCTCCAAAATTAGTCAAAGAACAATGATCTTGTGATAACCTTAATGGTTTTCATTTTTATTTCATTTCCTCCTATTTGGAATATGTTTTAACAATATAAAAAAAACATTTATTTTGTCTTTTTAAAAGTGAATGTGGATTTCAGTTCATCTTAATTTTGAAGCCATTTATGCTTTAGAAGCTGTTGTATGTAAAATTCTGCTAGAGTTTGGTGGAGAAAACACACAACGTCCCCGCACAGCACACACAGAGAGAAATGATGACGTCAAAGAACAGTAGAGATTGTTCAAGAGTCAATTTCTGTCTTGTGTGAAGTCATCTGAGGGGTGATATTGAATCTTTGGGGATAAGAGACGAGACTGTGATGTTTGACTAGCAAGACAAGGTAACACACCTCAGCAAGACTGCGCTTGTTGATGTAATTTATTGCAACATTAAACAGAGAAAAAACTGTTTAAAACATTTTCGCTTCAAGCTGACTTTCAAAACTTTACCAGATGCTTCCCTTATCTTATTTAGCTGACAAAACGTATGGCCTCAGCTTGGCTTTGTTCAAGTTTTTATTCACAGTGTGTGAAAGTTTTGTTAAGGATTAGATTCACAGTCCCCAACGGTCTGCTAAAAAAAATCTCAAACCTTTCTTAAGGCCATTTCTAATGTTTTTGCTCCTCCATTTATCTCTGTTAAGCTTCTGTTTTGTTCTGACACTGCAAAAGGGAACAAAGATAAGACTTAAACTTATTTGGTGAGCTCAGGGGAGTTTTTACTCATATTTAGTATGTCAGTCCAAAAAAATATAATGCCTGTTGTATTCTTGCAGTGACTTACAATGTAATCGGTCCTGTAATTCAATAGTGACATGACAGTGACCTTTTTGTCATACTCCTTTAATTGGACTGGCTGTTATTATCCCCAAAAACAACAGCAGTCTTGGCTTCAAACCATATTAGTGGTTTTAACAGCTACTTTGTTTAAAAATATATTTAAATGCTTATTATATTAAACCTAATTAAATGAAATTACTGTCAAAGTTGCTGTAAAATACAGCTGCGTATTTTACTGATTAGCATGTTGAGTGAAACCCCAAGAGAACATCTACTGCACAAGAGTTTGACCTTGATCCTCTAAATTTGCTTGCAAAGCCTTAATTGCTTATAGCTCTAATGAGGGCATTTTACATAATTTTAGAAGAGTGGGAATACTGTGGTGGGCTCACTCTCTTCCATCGTTTGGCATAAGAGCAATTAAGAGTTCTTATTGTATGTTATTTGGTCAAAAATGACTTCCATTCAATGCACTCTGTAGGCTACTTCAGACGTACATATGGTTGGAGTAGACTTTTGTACACAAATACTGTAATGAAACTAAGACATTGAGTTTAATTACTCCATTAAAAGTCCAGTATGTAACATTTAGGAGGATCTGTTGGCAGAAATGGGAAATAATATGCATAATTATGTTTTCATTAGTGTATAATCACCTGCTGTTGGCTTATTTTTTATTGTGTGGATATGTTAGTTTTGGGTTGTGGAGAGAAAGATTTTTATAAATTAATATGCATGATATACTATAGTAGGAAGTTCAATCAGCAGTT